AAGGTATCATTGCTATTTAAGACCTGTACATCATTAGATTGTTATGTCCCAAATGTTTATTTAATGCACTTTTGTTTGTTCATCTGTTTCACTAATGTTAGAAAACTATCCCTAGTCATCTGATAGAAGAACCCTGAGCTGAACTTGCATAATTATTTAGGTATGAGGACAGGCGTCCAACAAAACAGGCACACAATTGCTTCCTATAAAATTGTACATTAGAAATTGTTACATATGTGATTATTAACATAATAAGAAATACATAAATCTTAATATAAATTGTCCAGTAAAGTAAAAAATAAAAAATAAAAAATAAAAGTTAAATGGTTTTGATGCTCATGTGAGATGTAAATCAATGTATAGTACCTTTATTTCATATTTTGTCATTAATAAGTCAGATGAAGAATGTTGCTGGTGGGATGTTGTCAATAATTTTAAGAATTGTGATATATCACATTTTAAAAGGTGAACCCTGTTGGTATCAGGAAACAAAGAAAGTGATGCTCCTCAACACTTTTTATTTCTTCATTTAGAATCTTAAATGTTCGCAGTTTTATGAAAGATAATAATGGGAATGTCTAATTCTTGAACTCTCCATTGTCATGTCCATAATGTGACGGGCCAAAATAGAGCTGCATGTTTCCATTCCTCCGCTGCATGTCTGGGGCATAGCATCAAATAGGTGTTGAACATGATGTTTCACCTTCTTTGGAATGTACGAATAACATAGGGCAGCAGTATTAGGATTGTGCTTTCTCTTTTTGATAAATTAGTGCTAGAAACAATGTCTTAAATATTTAGTTTGTAGAGCATGGCTGTGTTTGCAGGTACAGGATGCATGTCATAGATCTGGATCCATCCTCAGTGACTGCTGGTGGTTGGTTGGAAGACACTTCATTGGTTGAGAAATATTCAATTTCTGAAGATGCCTATGACAAACTTGGTGGCAAGTTCACTCTATTGCATCCCCTATTCTTTTGCCTAACTGTTTTTGGATATTCATGTCTGCTGTACCGTTACTTGACATTGTTGCTGTTTATATTTGTTTCATGTTTTACATGTTTCAGTAAATTTATGGAATATTCCTTAACAATGATATATCTGTAATTTTGTCCATGCGAAATATATATTCATTTAAAAGACCTAAGGCTTATTTGCATGCTGCCCAAAAAATGACATTGTACTGTTGCAGTGGCATTTTAGGTCACGGCATGTTCGTGGTTCAGGTGGTTCCTTCAGATGCCTTTAGAACCCAAATAGGTGTCAGCCATTTTGTGACTGAGATGAAAAATAGATATACCGGTTTTCATCACAGTTGCAAAATGGCTTGTTTTGTTAGTGCCGCTGACCTGGACTCGGTGTAAAGACAGGTGGTGCATTGTGGTGTTGCTGGTTTGTTGGTGTGGTGGTCGTGGTGATAGTGTTAGTGCTGGTGTGATGAAAAGGCAGCGGGGTATAAGGATCAGTAGTTTCTAGGTTCTAGGCCATGAGTTTGAGATGTGTAGGTGGCCTAGATTAAGCCATTATTCTGTTTCATAATAATCTCAATGAAAAAGTTTCATAAAATTATTCCCCTGGTGTAGATCTTGTGAGCTCTTATAGGTTGAGCCATAGAGTTCTCTGTTTTTTAGTGGCCATTAATGGCGAAAACGGAAATCTACTCACTGTTCGGAAGGAAGCCTCACTTCCTGCCACTTCATGGAACCAAGGGCAAGGAATGGATACCTCAAAACTCACCAAAAGGTGGCCAGTATAATATTATAATAGTATTACATAATATTATAATAGTACTACAATATTATTTATATATAGGTAGTGATTTCATGTCACCATGTCCTGATAATATAATGAAACCACACTTCTAGAAAATTAAGTTTGTGGCATTTGTATGATCCCAAAAATTGCACACACCCTCTCTTCATCCCAATAATCAATCCCTAAAAGAATAAAATTCAATTTGCACCATGGATATGCTCAAAATGAGTATCTCCAACATTGAATTTAGATCATCCATTTGGTGAATTTCAAGATCAAAGCCTTTACGAACTCAATATCATTTTTTTCTTTTTTTAACATTGTTCATCTAATGATAATAAAGCTATTTAAAAAATAAAGAAAAAGAATAAATCCTGCTAAGCCCTAGATATAAGCGTCTCACCAAAATGGGTGGCCTATGTTCATTGGGCTAAAAAAAACACTTCTAAGGTGTATTTTCAAATTTTTCTTTTCTGTAATTGTTCATTAGAGTGAAAAGAATTTAGATTTAAAAATTGGGGTCAAACAAATGGCCTTAACATGATTTTTGAATATGGTTCATTATATTACGATAGACCGATTGCATGCAATCACTCCCCTATATATATTACAGTTCTTTACTACTATAGTAAGTTACAATACTAGATATTATATTCTCTGTGTTATTATAGTACTATAATATTATTTACATATAATAGTACTATTGTAAATTAATAGTATATATTATATATTGTATAGTATTAGATAACACTATAGTAAATTAATATTATATTATAGTACTACAATATCATTGCATTACTATAATATATAATTATTACATAGTATTAAATATTATATATGGACAGAGAGAGCTAGCGTAGATGTTGGGTCTCTACTCTCTCCCTCTCTCTACTATATATAGTACTTGTATTGGTACTCTATAGTATTACTATATTGTACTAAATTGTATAGAGAGAGAGATAGAGAGGGGTAGATGATGGGTCTCTACCCTCTTTTTCTCTCGCTCTCTCTAAAATTCCACTTTTTTAAATTATATATAATATAGTACGTATATGTACCAACAACCCCACTCCTTGTATGTATATTGCATCATATATTTAACCCCTCTTTTTCTCCCTTTTGTTTTTGGTGCCTTAGTCATGCGGCACCCCTAGGCAGCGACCTCCACATTTTTGAACATTGAATTCCAGATATAGAAGTAGTTCATCTCAGTATTATATAGGAAAGGAACAAGCAGATCAGTATGTTGGTATGTACCTCTGATCAGAAGTGATTTTTAGATAACAAAAAGAATCTTGGTCAGGTTCTATATCCATAGTTGCTCCCAGAGGTCTTTTGGTTTATGAATGTCACACAAGAAATATTCCAGGGAGGCACATCACTTTGTCATGTTATTCTTATGCTGGTTGTGTCCTCATTAAATGTTTTTTTATTGTGAGGTGTTTTAGTTTAGACATTTCAATAATCATAAAATTACTAGGGTAACTTGTCATTCTTGTGGTTTGGAGGGTATTATGTCCACTACGCATCTCATTTTTCCAAATTGCATATGTAACTGCAGCCTCAAGTTTGGTGTTTCGATCATTCGGCAGTAATCTTTCTTCTCCTTATGCTTTTATGTATCCTTGTTTCCCTTAAGAATGAGCTGCCTTTGCGTAATAATTATTTCTTGCAATGCTCTAGTGGCAATAAGAGCCAAGTTCAATGCAAGTTGTTCGAAGTGGGAATGGGTGTGGAGCTGAAGCGTGCATAGGTGGGAGACCACTCTTGTCTGCGAGGGTCATGGAAGTGGTTATAAGGTATTTATAAAGAAAAATGGAATATGAATGGATACTTAAATTTTCTAAAATTATATTTAGATGCACAAGTATACTAGAGATGTCTTTATTTAACTAACAAATATGTTTGCTCTAGTAATTTTTAAGAATCATATTTATACACTTTGAGTCATAGTCTATCAAATATATTTATTTGATCTAATATTGTACATTGTGATTGTTACAAATTTAGGTCAAGTCGCAAGATAAGTCCTGCCCATTTCTTCTTGTAACCCCTTTATTTCTAGCTTTTTTTAAATAAAGCATGAATTAGAGAGTATAAACATAGAGAGAGGAAGAGATAGACAAACGTTTCCAAACATGTGATTTGAAAGCATTGCATTTAATATTTTTTTCATGAATATGGACTAGAACATCATTTCCCCTTTGAAAACTCTAGGTATACATGATTTACATCACTATTGTATTTGTTTTTGTTAGATCTACATGTTAGACATCCTTTTTTGATCAATATGGATTTAAGCATCTCTTTGCTTTTAAAAACATATGGAACTTGCATATGCATCACAATTGATTTTTTTTTTTTAATTATTTTTTTAGTCTTTTGAATGATATGCATTTGAGCCTTTCTCTCCCTTTAAAGAATTGTGAAACATTAGTGACCGATACCTAAGAGATTGAGATTGTGTTCCGACCACCATAATTCACCCAAGTTTTTGCTTAGGGAACATGCATTGCAGTCTTGGAGTGGTTTGCCACTTAAGGTGGGGGATCTCAGTGACTATGATTTAGTATAGGGTAGCATCTGTGATATTCTAGTTAAAGTATTATTTAGTAATCTATTATAACACTTTGAGCCGTAGTCGTTGGGAGAGGAAGCAGAAGCAGGAGTAGGAGTGGGGACAGGGATTGCTCGCTGCCTCAAGCTCCCTAACTCGGGAGCTCATGGGATCACTTGTCTGGGAGACCAAGGCGATACACACACACACATAGAAACCTTGAAGCATATGTTAGGAAGTGTCTCTGGATTGTATATATTATGTTTTATATATTATCTATAAACACACACACACACACATGCACCCCTTTGCAACACACATCAAGTGGCATCCCAAGATTATATATACTATGCTGGTTTATATTATTGCATATAATATATTTCATTTTATTTATACATCTATATATATATATATCATCATCATCATCATCATCATCAGAGCCTTTCCCAATTATTTGGGGTCGGCTACACGAATCTTGGTCTGCCATTCTCCGTTATTAAGGGCCATACCCTTTGTGAGGCCATAAGTACCCATATCTTTTCTCACTACTTTCAAACATGTCCGTTAGGCTTACTCTTGCCTTTTTTGAGCCTTCTACTTGGACCAACTCGCAACTCTTAACAGGTGTTGTACTGGGTCTGCATTGCCCATGCCTACCCACCTAAGTCTATTTTCTCTCATCTTATCACCTATTGAAGCCAAACCCAAGTTCTCCCAAATATATTCATTTCAAATTTTATCCCTTCTTGTTTTGCCTCTCATTCATCTCAACATCTTCATCTCAGCTACACTCATCCTATGAGTATGTCTTTTCTTGACTGCTTAACATTCTGCCTCATAAAGCAACGCTGGTTTCACAACTATCTCATAGAACTTCCCCTTCAGCTTCATTGATATGCGGTGATCACATGAAACTTTGATTGCCCATCTCCAGTTCACCAACCCAGCTCTAATTCTATGTGCGACATCTTCCTCAATCTTTCATTTATCATGGATGGATTATCGACCCAAGACATCGAAAGTGTGATTGTTTTTGGTTTTCTTAGCCTTCAATCTTAACTACTTCCTCGTCTCTACTCCTATTATTGCTAAACTTGCATTCCATATACTTTGTCTTTGTCCGGCTAATTTTAAAACCTTTAGATTCTAGAGAATCCCTCCAAAGTTCTAACGTTCTGTTGATGCCGCTTCGGTCTCATCGATCAAAACTATGTCGTCTGCGATCAACATACACCACGGTGCTTCATCTTATAAGTGCTTAGTTAAGTCCTCCATAACTAAGACAAAGAGGTGTGGGCTTAACGCTGACTTCTGATATAGGCTTATTGTCATTGAAAACTGACTCGTCTCACATTTAGTTATTCGTATACTAGCAAGCGCTCTCTTGTACGTATCTCACACCAATTTGATATAGTATATGAAGGCTCCTTTCTTTTCCAACATCCACCAAATTAAATCTCGAGGTACTCTATTTTAAGCTTTCTCTAGATCAATAAAGACCATGTGAAGGTCTTTTTGCTTCGCAAAAACTTCTCAATTAGTTGCTTAAATTAGAAAATGGCCTCAATTATTGATCTCCTAGCATAAAGCCGAATTGGTTTTTGGATACACTCGTTTCATGCCTTAGTCGTTGTTCAATCACTCTCTTCCATAACTTTATAGTGTGGCTCATAAGTTTAATCTCTCGATAGTTTACAGAATTTTGTGTCTCATTTGTTATTATAAATAGGTATTACAATACTTTCCTCCATTTGTTTGGCATTTTTTTTGTTCTCAACACCTTGTTGAAGAACTTGATCAGCCAGTCAATATCGATCTCCACCATGCACTTCCAAACCTCTATCAGGATAACATCTGGTCCTAAAGTCTTTCCTATCTTCATCATCTTCAAAGCTTCTTTCACTTTCAATATCTTAGTCCTAAGAATGTATCTATAACCTTCGTCCTCATTTAGGCTAACGATTTCTTCTACCAATGTGTTCCCATTGTGTTTTCTATTTAATAATTTTTGAAAATAACCAAGACCCTTTGATCCTCACTCTTAATGCATTTAATATGGTTTAGATCCCTACACTTTTTCTCTCTCAGTATATAGTATATTAATATACATCATAAAATAGGGTAAATATGTAGAGACACTAAAAAAAAAGAATCATTATTTAGTATTATATATATACATGGACAATAGAAATTCCGTAGAGAGAGTCCCATAAATGCCATGCCAAGAAAGGGCACTGAAATTTATTCGTCAACCACCAAATCTTTTAGTAGTTTTCATGGAACCTTGAGATCTATCCCTGACCTCTTATCAATTTATGGAATACAATCAACGCATTAAGTTACTCAAACAAACTTATCACACATTGGCATGCACACACACGTGCACACTGCTATAGTATTGTCAGTTAGCGATGATAGTCATAATTTGTAATTGACAATTTGCTAATTATATCAATTAGAAAAGAATGTTCTAATCACTATCTACACTTTGTCAGTTAGTGATGATAGTCATAATTTATAATTGACAATTTGTCTAATCATATGTTAATTAGAGAAGAATGTTCTAATCACCATCTACACTTTGCCATTTGCCTTTTTTATAAGAGTGGGGTGGGCCCGTGCATTTGTCATTCTCACTCTCTGTAGATATCTGGGCATTTTGACCATTGAGATTTTAATTAATGGCATTTTCCTTTGGGTTAGATATTTTATCCCCTACTTTATCAAATGCAAGTTAATTCAGTTTTTTGTTCACCAGATAATTGCCATTACATGTATTGCTAAATGGACTCTCGTCTTGATGTTGTATAAATATTCATTGTCTTCAGAAACAATTCTTAACATTATCAGATTTTAGTCTCTCAAATTATTCGCACGTTTAATGATCGGCTTGCGACCTTCATTATGCTATGGAATGTTCCAGTTCGAGGTGGATATATGATCCAAGACCTCTGGGATCTCAAACCCCTGATTCATGCAATCTAGACCACGCAAGAGAGGGGATCTGGGGCTAATGGGATGGTGATCCCTCATCGTACAGGACTACGATCCTAAGTGATGGAGGATTGTGCTTCCCCCATGGTCCACCTCACGAACTGCCGCATCGAGATTCGGGAGCTGGACAACTCACTGCCTACAGAGCTCCCTATAGCTATATTCATTACATTAAGAATTCCTCTTAGATCTGAGATCACTGAACTTGAAAGTTCCTTTTTTAATACTGACAGTTTTTTTATTGGAAAGAAATTATCAAAGTTGTTGCAAGAATAGAGATCTTTTTATTTGATATGCAGCCTAATTACTTACAATGCCTTTCTCAGGTACCTTTAGAAAATTCAAAGAGAAGTTGGCATCTGAGAAACCCAGTGCAAATATTGTATGTCTCACTTCAGAACATTCGTAGTTGCATTAAAATGGACTTATCCCTTTGATGTCAACCAAGTCTTTGAGGATGCCTATTCAATATCTCTCTTCCATTTCACACTCAAATCTGGTTTTTATGTGCAGCAGTCTGTGATTTTGTGCTGTTTCATACAACTCATATCACAATATACTCTTATTATTTCTGAATTGGGAACCGTGCTTCCTTTCTAGGTAACTGATAACTACATGGAGGATCTATGCAAAACTATCAAGGTAAGTAGTCCAAATTTTTCCTATTTCAAGTACTTGAGAGTATTGTTCTTGCAGATACTGGATTCTTTGTAGCAAACGTTTTCTTCTATTCCAATATAAAACTAATTTTGACAACTTAATCTTCATCAATCATTTAATACTACCCTTGAGTTATGTAGAAAAGTACTTTTGACCACTGTTGGTTGACACTTTTAGCATTCGTGCCTGCATTAAGCACATTTTTTGTGGGTTTCCAGCCATCATCCCAATATTCCTCCACAATCCACATCAATAAGGAGGTGGGTCTAGCGGCCTGACTGGTCTTACTGTGGTTTAAAGTATCTGATTGTTGCGTGTATTTATTATTTTCATTCGGTAACCAGTTCCTGATCCTGTGTGCTGGGCCACAATGTGCGACCTATGCGTTTTAGCCAGGACTTGGATTCTTGCATTCATGGGGCATTGTTTTGTATTTAACAGTATTCGTCTTTACCTTTGGGCCATTTCCTTTTGCTAATGATCATTCAGAGCTTACATTCTGAGGATAAGATTCCATTTTTACTTTACGCTTCAAGTTGGCAAAAATATTAAAATATCAAGATCAGTTGTCATTCTTGACATAGAAATATCTATAGTTGAGGAACAAAATTAGTAAACCTAAGAAAACAGAGAAGAAAATGTTGGTCAGAGAAAAGGCATTAACAAGGACGTTGAAGCTGAATTTGTATGTAATATACGGCTCAAATTGCATATGGAATAGTTTCTTCTCATCTTACTCAAGCATACATACAGCCCTCTCATGAATATTTATACAAGCCCTCTCATGAATATTTATACAATTAGTGTGACATAATTATCCTACACAAGAAATGTGAGAGGTAGAAAGATATAGTGCATAAAAATTGGTAAACGACACCAAAGAGAACTTTTTTACAAAATACAGAGAAAAGATGGTGTCTGTGGTGTCCTATACCCTTTGGTTTCATTGGGATGCCACTAGAGCATTCTAATCCTATGAGGGTTATTTGCCAGCAATACGAGAATTGGAATTGTTTGCCCTCCACAATGCTATGATTCTCTATAAATTCCATCAGTGTGCTCAGTTTTTCCATTCATTGGTTGCCATGCCTCTCAATTCTGGCATCGCAACCCATGATAATATCCAGAACCAGCAAATAAATCACGTGATCACTTTTTGTCAATGATATATGAACTTGTATCAACACTATGCTAGCTTTTTTTTTTCTGCACTAATTTTCATATGCATTTATATTGATGAAGTGCTCTGTTCCTCTATTTCATATTGGAACCTTTTAGGTCTTATCCCTCGGACTGAACTCAGATATGCTGGGCTGATTTCAAAAAGTTCAGTTGGTAACTGTGCGCTGTTTGGAAGATTAGGAATTTTCTTAGTGAAGATGGATGTGAATTTACAGCTCAGGAAATGTTCTGTTGTTTAACGGCTTGCAGCACTTCATGTTCAACTGCCTTGCAGCGGTATAGTCTCTCTAGAGAAATATACCTTCATATTACTGAATCTGATTGGTGCTTGCCGTTAGATTGTGAAATACTGCTTTTAGAGGCTCATACCTTTGCGGAAACTTGTCTATCTCCTTTTGACTCTATTCCTCATGAATGGATCCTTATAGCTTGTGGTTCATTGGGAATATAAATATGTACTCTTTATTATTTGGGTATACTTTGGACAATCAAAAACATCGCAAAGATGGCAATTGCAAGGGAAACTAGACTATGGTGGTCCACCATCCACAATGCTGGGTCACCAACCAAACAAGCAGCTGACATTTGATACAAACCGAGTTTCTGGCCATATGAAAAATACCTACTGTATACCCTCAAATGGTCTCAATAGGGGCTGAAATTTAGAGGGTCTCCAAGATACACAGGAAGAGATGTCAGAAGGCATCATCAGAGCTTTTTCACAACTAATTGGGGCCGGGAAGTGTTTTGCAAGCAAAATTCCTGTCCCTCTTTCTCCTCCCCTCATACTATTGCCCCTTCTCTTTCGGCTGCCGCCCTCTCTTGGGTCTCTCCCTGTACGGATTGCGAACATGTGTCCCACTGAGATGGCCCATTCCACATGGCTGTGCCCCGCCTTTCTCTTCCTCAGGGCTTCTCAGGACTGCTGGGCTATGTTGGCCTACACCATCTCGTTTGCAGCCCTCCCACCAACCTTGGCCACCCTTCCCTGTCTCTTTCTTGCCTCCCTGGTTGTCCCCTCAGCTGTCCCCCCCTTTCCTACTGCATCCCTCCAGTCGCCATCCCCCAGCCTCTCTTCACCCCATCCTCACCCCTCTTCTCCTTGACTCTTGCTTTTCGAGTCTTCTTCTATCCTATCCCCTCCTTCACTGGCCCCTTCTCTAGACCTTACCGCAGCCCATTCCCCTTCTAACCCTGTGAATATGACAAAGTCTACCATGCCTGTCAACCAGCTAGCGACCTATGCATGCCCACAGCTTTGTCTATCCTTGACCTACTCTCCTACTCCTCAGCCTCTCTCTTCTTCTCTTATTCCTCCCCTACCCCCCACCCCCCATCCCCCACCCCCCCAGCCTGTCTTTCCTTTCAAATCCCCTACTTTGATCGCTCCTTCCCTCCCCGCTACATTATAGCCCCCAATTGCTTGCAACCACCCCCCCCACCCCCTCCTACCGAGAATCCTTCTTTTATCCCTTCCTCGAAGATCTACTAGGTGTGCTCCATTGACTCAAATTTTGTGGACGCTCTAGATCAAGCCCAAGGAAACCCACAAGAGGTCCTTAAGGTGATGGGAATCTGGTTCAATGGCCACACGAGGCTCTTGAAGCTCATCAAAGCTGATAGTGAATACAGATGGCAGCAGAAAGCGAGCAACATCAAAGGAAAGACCCCCGCTAATAACCCTCAAAGGTGCCCTAGAACCCTCAAATCTCTTTTTTGGAGTGAGGTACGAGAAAGGAGAATCCTTAGCTAAGCTCCCCCCACTGAAGTTTCCTTTGCCTGACAGCCTATTTGTTGCTCGGCCAAGCGAGCTCCCATCGCCCCCAATTTTGTCATGAAGATCCTAATTTGGAACATAAGGGGACTAGGTTACCCGGATAAACGAAATCATGTCTGACAGTTTGCATCACAGTATTCTCCCTCTATACTCGGCTTTATGGAAACCAAGCTCCCCTCTCCTTCCCTCTCCTTGATCTGGCAAATCTGGGGCTTCCGTTTATGCCAATGGGTCACCTTGGACGCACTTGGCACGTCAGACGGAATTTGGGTCCTCTGGCCTGCATCTTTACCAGTCTTAGTGACCTCCCATATTGGCAAATTCTCAGTCACTGTGAACCTAGCCAGGATCTCAGATTCTACAATGGAAGGGCACTATGGTCTATGGACCAAATGAAGACAGTGAGAGAACGACATTCTGGAGAGAACTACAATCATCAGTTATCCTACCTTCCTCAACATGGTGCTTAGGAGGAGATTTTAGCATAACTAGATGGTTCCATGAGAATAATTCCCATGATAGAATCGCCCCATCTATGGTCCAATTTTCGGACTTTATCTCTCACAACAGCCTTTTAGATATCCCTCTAGAAGGAGCTGAGTTCATTTGGTCTAGCCACTAAGCCAGTCGTAGCCTCTGAATACTAGACAAATTCCTTACTTCTCTCAAGTGGGACAGTTTTTGCCCTAGCGCTCACTCTTTGGTGTTACTCAAGCCCACCTCGGACTATCGGCCAATACTTCTGGACTCCCAAGCGTTACCCGAGGGCCAAAACCCTTTCGATTTTAGTTGTCTTGGGTCAAAGAGACCAGCCTCCCCTCTCTCATCCATTCCCAATGGGATTCATTCTCTCCTTTTGTGAGAGGTTGGGCTGGCTTCATTATGCAAAAAAAACTTCTAATGCTCAAAGCCTACCTCAAATCATGGAGCTCTCAACTCCCCAAGAATTTTCGTAACTAAAAGGACTCCCCCACTCTCCCTCTGTGTTGGAATCTCGCTCCAAGGATAAATATGGCTATTAGTGCATCCTAAAGAAAGAAGAAATTTACATGGGCCCGTTAAAAGTAAAATGGCTCAAGCTTGGAGATCAAAATACAACCTATTTCCCCAAAATTGCCAGTTGTCGAAGAAGGGAGAATTCCATCTCTCATTTGAAGGTACGGGACCAAATTGTTTACCAACCCCCCTCATAGAGTTAGCTGCAATTCAATACTTCTCCCAGTTGTTCTCATCCCCAAACTGGCCTAGACCAGAAACGGTAGATCTTTCTTTCTCAACCATCTCCCCTGAAACAGCAGCCTCTCTGGAAAAACACTTCTATGAGGATGAGTTCCTCTAGGCTATCAAAGATCTCAGTGGGGATTGGGCTCCTGGGCTCGACAGGTTCCTCGTGGCCCTCTTCAAAGTTTTTCGGCACACCCTAAAACCCGATATCATGGCTTTCTTTATTGAATTCTACTCTTGAACCTCTATCCGTAAGGCGATGAATGCTACCTTCATCGCCTTGATCCCCCAAAACGAGGGAGCTGAGGAGCTCAAAGATTTCAGGCCCGTTATCTTGATCAACACGTTCTACAAAATTCTCTCTAAGGTCCTGGCATCTCGCTTAAAGCCTATTCTTGGTCTGGTGATCTCTCAGTCCCAAGGAGCTTTTGTGAAGGACTGCCAGATCCTCGACGGGGCGACCTTAGTTGCCCATGAATGTATCCACCCTTGGTCTAACTCCAAAATTCCTGGCTTGGTGATCAAACTAGATTGGGAAAAAGCCTATGACCATGTAGATTGGAAAATCCTAGATGAAACCTTTTCTAGAATGGGATTTGGGCTTGTTTGATGGAAATGGATCCAAGGGTGCGTCTTTAAAGCCCAATTCTCGGTCCTTATAAATGGCACTCCACAGGGTTACTTTCAAGCATCGCGAGGGCTTCACCAAGGGGACCCCCTTTCACTGTTCCTCTTTGCTATAGTGGCTGCGGTTTTTAGTGCCTCCATTTTGTACATATGCAGGCCTCCTCTCAGGCTT